CGTACATTTGTGGTCTCAAAACTCAAGTGGAGCCAGCGCTAGGAAGTCACAAAGATGATACTGCTCTTAATGACGCCGTGTTCTACTGCTGCAGATTGATAAAAACGAGCTGGTTTGTTAGATAGACTTATGGTCATTTTATACTTAATCGTGTTCTTATTAAAGTGTAATGGTGGTCGATGATAACATTTCGAGGTGATCTTTTCGACGGACGTTTGTAATTATTGATGGTGGTGATGTTGATGTCATCATGATGACAACGATGTAGGGTTACTGAGTAATGTTACTTTACAAGCTGGAAAAATCTGCCCTCTTGCATCCCTTATTTAATGATATATCTTTACTTTGTTGCAGCTCTGGTCGGCGCTAAAATCACCAGAAAGATTAGTTTATCCCAGAACACAGGACAAACCAGACAAAACTAAATGAACCTATTTAATTCAGGCATTAAATTTACCAAATGAATGAAAACCTAAGTAAAAGAAGATGGTCAATTAACAATGAATAGTGAAAATGTGTGACGTAAATTAAAGGGAAAGTTAAAGATTGTAAGAAAATACACTTGTCCAGCAAAATAAATAGTACCAGATGCAGTCTACGCCTTCTTTCTCATTTTCTTACGTCAGAGTAAAATTAATGAACAAAACAGGTATGATTTCTTTGAACTAAACCTCGCGACTGAGTTTCCCGGCATTATAATATTGCAGATGTCCTGCGTTGCATTGTTAACTGGATTTGAATAACATCACTGATATACATAAAGCTACGAAATGTTGAGCTAAAATTTTACCATCAGAAAATTAATAATACTAATACTAATACTAATACTAATAATAATAATGATGATAATAATAATAATAATAATAATAATAATAATACCTTTATTTTATATAGCGTCAATTCTACAAGATCCAACAACGCTTTACAGACTTTAAGCTTAATAATTACAAAATTAACTGATTATTCTCTACATCGTGATTGGTTGACTTTGTAAACGTACATGGCCCCATCTAGTTAGTTGTCTCCTTTTAAAAGCAATGTGTTTTCCATAAACAGATAAACAATAATCAAGGGAATTTCTGACACGAACAAAGCAAAAAAGATTAGGTCCAAGCTGATTTGTTATACGATAAATGATCGTAAGAAAAATTCGGGTGTGGCTCTGATTGCGTGGTTAGCAAATTGAGGACCTGGTTCCTTCCCATTCATCTGGGGAAACGCCGCATTCATATATACACTCAAACAGTACATACACTGCAGAATGGATCGCAAAAGCCCACACGCTAACATAAATTCCAATTCGATCTGTGAAATAGGTACTTCTTGTAGTACCAGTAAGGATCATGCAGCTAAGACATTGAACTTTTCATGTACCGAAATATTCCTTAGGATCCACTTTATCAAGCTACTCTGATATATTAATTGGATACGACAAATGATACGTCTAATTATCCTAAGGGCAAAAAAGTAATGCATCATTGCTTGCTAATTTTATTATTTTTGTAGTTAGCAAATGCTTGGGGCAAAAAAGGTGTGTTTGGTTTAAAATTAAAACTGGTCACCCTGTGTTAATACCTTATATGGGTCGTCTGACACAACCCTAACACGAAGTAGGAAGTATACACCTACATTTCTGACCAGCCATGTTGAATCGAATGGAATAGAGAAGATTGAGTTGAGAAAAATATCCCAGGACTGGTAAATTGTGTAACTATGAACTAAAAATACATCAAGGTAAGCCGTGAATTAGTTTCTGGATAGGAATATATATTAGATTGGTTCTAATGCGGTCTATATATTAAGTTGGAAGTCCTTCAAAGTTAGTTATTGGTTGTATCATAACAAGATACCTTGTTTGATACAGTTGTTCGTATTGTTGATCCTAACCATGCATTTCTAGTAGATATCGTTAGTGGAGGATAACAGAACAATGAGGATTCACTCCCTGGGGAATATATTCTGCTACACCAGTGACATTCTATCCCTTCCAAATCGTGGAATGATTTATATTGTTGTGCGATCTTGTACCCACCGCATCTAAACCTCAAATGTCTTGAAAACTAACAGAGAACCACAAAGAAGCATGCAAAAGACAAATGAAATATCTAAGCTACATTTTGACAAAGGATTTAAAAGTTTAAGTTGAATCGTAATGCTTATTTTTATACAGAAATGTTCAACTGTAGCTTGTTTAAGTAATTTTGCCACCACTGGTATCCCAACCACAGAAAGACTGCTCTTCCCAATTACACATACAAAATCGTACAATTTGCAGTATCTAGTTTTGGTGGACGTCAATCAAGGCATTTCAATGATATTCCATAGGCACCTGCCATTGAAAAGTTGGTTTTTTCAACAATTATGTCATGGAAACACTTTGATTGATGTCCACCAAGACCCCTATTTCTTTGCGATGACAAATTGTACGATTTGGCACGTGTGATTGGAAAGCCCTGTAAGCCTGTGGTTCAAATTATTAAAACATAGAAAATAAGATTATATCTGGTCTGGAGTAGTATTCATGAGTAGTATACATCAGGTATGACTTGTACCATTATACAACAAATTGTACAACATGCCATAGCATTTGAAATGGCTTCCTATTGTCTTCCAGTAATTCGTCAAGTACAGTAAGAAAAGGTACAGCTATGAGTTTGCTGCATCTTTCCCCAGCCATATAAAACTGCTTTATCATTCAACACATAGCATATATTTTTTGGAAATATATATATTATAGCCTTTGAACCAAGTAATGCATAGGTAACATGCTCTTAGGGGATTGTAGATTTTGGAGGTCTTTGCTCTCCTTTAAAAGAATGCAGGGGGGGGGGTTCAACCACCCCACATTTTGTGTATTTTATCAAAAAAGGGTGCAATTATGGGTCTTTCAACTGAAAGTTATAAGTACAACAAAAACAATTGCTAAAAGTGAATTTAAGGAATGATGTTAACTCCCCCTTGCATTTAAGTAGACTGTTAACAGTCCATCTTTTCCCTCGCCTCATGATCAGTTGAAGATTCTTCCTCTAATTTGGTTTGGGGAGTGGTAATGAGTTTGAAGTGGCAGGTAGAGAGAGGAAAGAAAAAATAATTTTTACCATGGTGGAAGTAAATGAGAATATTAGGAAAAATCGAATATTTGCTTATTGCACAAACCTTTCTCAGCTTCCTAACAAAAAAAAATAAGGCCTGTTTAGGTAACACACAAACCAATTTTTGTTTGATTGGTTTAAAAATTCTTATATAATATTTGTTTTTACATTTGATTTTACAGAAATGGCAAAATAATTAGTTTAAAGTTTATCAATTTTGATTTTAAATCACAAGGAGATAGAGTGGTTTTCATAAACCCATGAAACAAAGACAGTGTACTAATTAGAGTGTGATAGTCAGATAAACATGATAGAAAACAAAAGAATCAGAGTATAATAGAGTAAAATAGAGTATGAATAAATGTCTTTATTTAAGTGTCTAGTCCTTCTAGCCCTTTCGCACTAATTCAGGGACACGTTTCACTCACACACACTACCACTACATTCAATGTTCTCTGACACAATGCTCAACTGAGCACATGTTGATTTTTTACGGAGGGAGGAAACCAGAGAACCCGGAGAAAACCCTTGTAGCGACTGCAGGGCTCGAACCAGAGACCCGACCTATTGGAGTCGCAGCACTTAGCAGTGAAAGACGTACACCACCCATGCTACCCATAATAAGCTAAAGTGTATTTCACAGGTTTATGAAAATCAGCTCTATACTTCTGCTTCTGGATYAAGGAAAATTCTACAGCAAATTCATACTCAGTGGTTGAAATTTGTATGCTTTACTGTACACACCTAAGGGTCATGCTAAATTACATATTTTTCAGATGATGAGAAGAAGCTGCCTTTTCTTCACAACAACAGGGGTAGGTCACTTAATTGTGGTGAGTGTTTTAATCTGACAGTGAATCATTCTTCAAGTAACTGTTTATAAACAATGTATAAATGAGCTCAATTGTTTTTCTTTTGAAGAAAAAAAGTTTAAAACTTGCAATGACCATGGTTGAATTTGAGCATGCACATATTTGATGACCTAGAATCTGGGTCTTTGTGGTTGTATTATACCAGAGGGTCTGGGTATGACAATGGGTTTGATTAAGAGAGAGAAAGAGAGTAAGAAAAGACGGCCTCCTATTAAATCCTTCTGCTGGAAGTGATATTGCTCAAATCCAATGACCATTCATCATAACAGAATCATTGATTGGTTCGAATCGAAAGAGAAATTCATTTGCCATTAATTAATTAATTGATTGATTTAATATCGCCTCCCTAGTTCAGTTATTGGTAAACACCTAAAAACTTGCGACACACTGGGACACAGGAAATCCACCACCACCACTTCACAGTCTGTACTAAAGAAATGTCTGAGAAAGTTGCAATGTGTAGTTTCAGAATTGCCATGACCCACCCCTTTTAACAAACACACACATCTAACCAAAATTGACATAATATGTGCAGATGTTTGTGTACGTGTATGGGGGGAGGGGGGGGGGAGGGTTGGCTGCAGGAGTAAGAGATGTAATTTTGTTTTCTCATATTTCCCTATCCCAACCCCTCTTTTGTAGTTTTGTAGTTTTTTCTGCCATTTTTCCTTTTCAAAACAACCCCCCCCCCCCTATTTTTTCTGGCAGTGCTTTCCCTTTCTTAGAGTGACTTCATTTATTCTGTCTTTTGGGTAGCATGGGTGGCATTCTCGGCTGACGCATCATGTCTGCCTTGATGTCTGCTGTGTCTGAATGCACTTCTTCTAGCTGTGTTTTGATATATATTTGATATATATATATTGCAATATGCATAAACTTTGACCCTATGTATATATACAAGTATATCAAAAATTATGGGATATCCTATATATATATATATATATATACACATATGTATAATAATAAGTAATATATACAGTATGAGTGGCCGTGTTGTATCAGATATACAACCACGAGGCATAGCCGTCTAGGTTAGTTCCTTTGTGTTTCACTAAAATTTTCAAAATTAAAGTGAATCTGGCCAAGAAAATCCAACTTAAAGTTTATGCAAATGAACACAGTTTTGTATCAGATTTACAACACTCTTCACGGTCGTGATTTCTGTTGTGTTTTCCTCATTAATTATTCATGCGTTTGATAATAATTGTTATTATGTACTGTTTAATAAAGGAGCAGGAGTGTTTTATCGGGTATGAAACACGAGGCGTAGCCGAGTGGTTTTAGACCTGATAAAACACGATCTGCGAGGCTTAGAAAACTCATGATGTATGTTCTCATAGTGCACCAAATTCTTTACGAAGTGAACCAAGTTTGAGAGAGAAAATCCAAGTTAAAGTTTATGCAAATGAAGACGAATCTATATCAGATATAAAACCTCCTTCATGGTCATGATTTCTATTGTGTTTCCTTCATGAATTATTAATGAGTTTGGCAATGTTATTATAAAGACTCCACACTAGACAAGAAATGATGTCGGTTAGGAAGAAAATGTATTTAGAATTATTCAATGTTGATACTACCTTTTTTATTTCCTTACTCAGTGATGGCCTTAGCCAGCTGGTACAAAGAGACAGATGGGAAAAAAAACTACACCAAGCTTTGTAGGTTATTAGTCGATGGAGGCACACGAGCAGTTCATTGTGTATTTGATGGCATACATCCACCATCTTCATTGAAAGCTGCCCTAAATACTAACAAGAAAACACTACAAAACCTGAAGACCCCAAAATCAAAAACGAAAAAGAAAGTACTGAATAACGAGCAATGGGACAAACTGTATCCACCAAGTGGGAGCAGTCCTAAATCAGAAGAATTTGATATCACTTTACTGTTWGTTCTTCTAAGAAACATTTGTGGACTTACAGCACCAGCAACTGGATGGGATGTCTTACCACTCATAACAGATAACTCACTAGAGGCTAACCTAGCCAGGATAAAGTACTACAGAAACAATACAATAGCACACAAACCAAATACTGAAATAGATGATGCTGACTTTGAACAACACTGGCAAGATATTTCATCTGCCCTACTGTCACTGGGTCTGAGKCAAGAGGACATTGATGATTTGAAGTCTGCTCCTTTGGGAGAGAAAGACTACAACCAGTTACTCCATGACTGGTTCATATCAGATAAGGACATCAAAACACAGCTACAGGAAGTGAAGACAAACACCGCAGACATCAAGTCAGACACAGCAGACCTCAAGTCAGACGCGGCAGACCTCAAGTCAGACACAGCAGACATCAAGTCAGACACAGCAGACCTCAAGTCAGACACGGCAGACCTCAAGTCAGACACGGCAGACATCAAGTCAGGCACGGCAGACATCAAGTCAGACACAGCAGACATCAAGTCAGGCACGGCAGACATCAAGTCAGACACAGCAGACATCAAGTCAGACGCGGCAGACCTCAAGTCAGACACAGCAGACCTCAAGTCAGACACAGCAGACCTCAAGTCAGACACAGCAGACCTCAAGTCAGACACAGCAGACCTCAAGTCAGACACAGCAGACATCAAGTCAGTCACGGCAGACACCAAGTCAGTCACAGCAAACATCAAGTCAGAGACAGCTTTAATACCTGGTATTCAAGAGGGCATAAGTCAATTGAAGAATATTTACTCAAGCGCGCAACTTAAGGATTCACTCATCAATGAACTTTCCTACTCGGACTTCAGCAGCTTGATTGAATCCTTGTGCAAGTCTTTTCATCCAAACACTCGCCAGTGGGTTCTGGATGAAGTCAAATCCCATATTGACAGAGGTACTGAATCACTGCCCTGTGAGATGATGCTGATCTCAGCTGGTCCAGGTATGGGCAAATCAACTATTGCTGCTAAAATCTGTCAGACATACAAGAAACTTGGATGTCTTGCAGGATGCCACTTTTTTCAGTTCAGTAACTCTACGAGAAACAATTCAAGGTTAATGTTGCAGTCCATATCAAGGCACATGTGTGACACTGTTCCCGGTTATAGAAAAGCCTTGGAATGCAAACTGCAAACAGATTTTGGTAAGAAGATTTCCGAGATGAACTGTGAGGAGCTGTTAACCATTTTGCTGGAGGAACCATTGTGTAACGTGGAACAAACAGACCGTAACTTCGTTATAGTCATAGATGCTCTGGACGAGTGTTCACACGATCCAAAAGATGAACTACTGAAGGCACTAAGGAAAAAACTGTCATGCTTCCCTTCATGGCTTCGATTTATTCTCACCAGTAGACCATCAACAAATATCTTTGCAGCTGGTCCAACTATTACTGTAGAAATAATCCAAGAAGATCAACATAATATCAAAGATATTGAAATGTTTTTTGCCTGCGAGCTTGAAGCCCTCTATCCACGTTACGACAAAATTGCAGACCTTGTGCAGAAGCTATGGGAAATTTCAAAAGGTTTGTTCTTGGTGGCTTTCTTTGTCATCGACGTTTTGAAAAGAGAAAATTTTGCATCACCAGATCAAGTTTTGGAACTGTTCCCTAATGGAATCTCATCAGTGTATGAGAATTATTTCTCTCGACTAAAAGAAGTCCTTGGACCTTACATATCAGATGAAGAAAGGTTCTTCAAAATGCTCGGGGCCGTTGTCGCATCAAAGTTTCCAATTCCTGTTCAAATGTTCTACAGTATCTTAGGTCTTAAACCTGACCGTGATATCCCTCGCGCAGAAAGGAAAACAAAGAAAGATGCGTTGAGCTCTCTCCATTCGTTGTTCCCTGTTGAAAACGACAATGTAACAGCATTCCACAAGACGGTCGTTGATTGGTTGGCTCTTCAAGAAGATGAAGAACATGACTTCAGTGTTCGTGTAGAAGAGGGGAGTGAAGTACTTGTTAATCAGTGTTATGATGTACTGAGTGACATACGAAATGGGAAAAAAGATGTGGATAAACCGTTGAATCTTACAAACAGCGAGAAGTATGCCCTAAAATATCTTTGCTACCTTATCGAGGAACAAGTCGTCAGAGCTGACAATTATGGATTCTTTTCTAATATTTACCTTCTGACTGCATTAAAGATGGAAGACATCCGATTTGGCATTCGCATTAGTGACGGTATTATATCTAGGTCCTTACTGGATATACTTGATATGATGATACGTTCTTTCCATTTTGGAAGTTTCCACGAAGCGTCTTGTCACTTCTATCGTTCCACTTCATTTGGTTGTTACCTTGCATTCGTCCTTCAAGCTGCAAAAGTGAAGGGCGTTAGTCAAGAAATAACGCCAAATACTCTTGTTGCCCTCAATAAGCATCGTTTTCCTTATCTTGATGAGAAAAGTTTATGGCGGACTCCGTCAAGAGGAATGTTTTTTTCCAAACACTATCTATTCGAATGTAAAAAAGGGTTTATAGCAGTTTTCCCAATATCTATGTCAAATTCACTGCCAACTGCAGTATATAGGTTTGAGCTTGATGGGCGGCTTATCAGGAGGAAAAACCTCTGCGAAATGCTCATAACCACCTCTGCGAACATCAACTTCATCGTTGCTGCCGAAGAAAATGGAAAGAAGATTGAGATATTAGACGTAATGACACTTGAAGTGGTCAGCCAGTACGAGTTTCTCCATGGTGCAATAGAAACATGTCACGTGTTTGGGAATGATCGGGACTTTTTTGTTGTCATCAAGGGTTATGATGACAACAAAGTCTACGTCATTGAAGGACTAACAGGACATGTACGTAACACCTTTACGGTGACTAAAGGTAGTACTGTAATGGACGTTAGTCGTCAAGGTCATATTTTGGTAAATTCGATGGCGAGAAGAAATTTGCATCTTCTTGGAAAAGAAAGAAATATTTCGATCATTAAAGTTGGTGAAGATTCCATTCTTATCAACCCACTTTTTGAAAAGATTTGCCATTGCCCTTACCCTGTGCGCGGTTTTTATGTTGTAGATGAAGCAGTTAATTTTTCTCCAGATGGTCGTCTTCTCGCATACTATTTTTTGGATTCCATATTCATAATCAACACGTCAGATGGCTCCCTGTTCAAACGTTTGTTATTTCCCAGAAAAAAAATGGATTCTTTTCTTGAAGTTTTGTTCATATCAATGTCTTATCTTGTGATTATTGAACGGAGTTTCATGTTGGTCGTGATTAACCTCCAAACAGATGAGATTGAGCACAGAATCTATCTTCCTTATCCAGTTTATCCAGATGGACAAGAATACATTCATAATTCAGATAAGAATAACATTGAGCAAAGAGCCTGTTTTCCTTATTCTGTTTTTCCAAATAGAAAAAAGTACCTTCTGTTTCCAGAAAAAGAAGGAAAGTCATTCAGCTTGATTAGCTATCATTTCAAACCTTCTGTTTGTGAAGTATCAAGATTTGTATTTTCTAATTTAAACCTTCAAGGTGTTCTATAGAGGCCGTCTTCAAGTAATTGCATACTCAATCCAATCTTAGTTGAGAAAAAAGCTCGACAAGTTTGTATGTGATGTATACCAAAAGTTGACTGACCATAAAGAGAAACTGACACCGATATTACGGCTTATGATTGGTCTACATTTTCGCATGTATTCACCCGTAAGCCTCGCTTACATGTCTTCAAAAAGGAAAACATCGAGTGCGGGCTCAACGAATGAAGTGAACATCTAAAGTGTTATCCATATAATACTTATGTTATCTTACAAAGTTTCCCTTTCTGGTCGATATGGTGAAGCGACAATAAAGGGTGAACTATATGACCTCCAGATCATCAAACAGTCATGGATCATAGATATCACTACTGGTCGTAATTTAAGACTCTAGGAAATACTCAATAGCAGATCAACAGCAATTATTTTAAAAGTTTTTTTTTCTTCTATTTATTTAATTTTTTTATTTAGTTTAAAAGGGTTTTTTTTTTACTTTATACACTTATTTCAATAAAGTTAGTCACCTGAAAAGCTATAAAGCTGAGGACGACAAGGATTATGGGTAGATTCATTTTACACCATCAACCGCTTGATAACTGTTCATGGACTTGTGAATCTTTTACCGGTTACAGTCTCGCCTCTTCTGAGCATCATCGAGCTGCAGTTTGTATTAAAAAAGCTTTGTATATATATATGCTTTTTTGATATGATAAGTTTCCCATGATGGTCAGTGATCTCAGCTTTCTAGGTTTTTGGTGACTAACTTTATTGAAATAAGTGTATACCAAGCAGAAGAATGTCAAATTGTTGCCGAAAAGGTATGCGGTAATACGATGTAACATTCTTTAGGGCTAACTTAGTTAAATAGCTAAATTAATGTCATGTATAATATGATAATGGTACCCAAAGGTCGTAGATAGAATGCAAAGACAGGAATTAAGAAAAAAAAATCCAATATTACTATATATAGTTCTATATATATACACGATAGTTTATATTTTATTTTAAAAAAGAAAGGTACATTTTTATTGGGGGAGGAGGGCTGGGGMTTCAGAGGGAAAGGTGATAAGTGAAAATGTGAACTTTCATGGAGGATCAAACCTTTTTATTTGACGAAAGTCGTCCTTTTTGACTTAATAGGAAGGTCATGCATTTCTAACTGAGTGAAAGGTCACTGTGAATCCCCTCCTCTCCAAATAAAATCGTAATTTCCCTAAGTAAAAAGACGAGAAATTAGAACGATAATGGATGAAGTAATATGGGATTGTTGATGCAACTAAGTGATACAGAAATTGAACCATGTATAGTAGAGTAAAGATTTAAGTAAATGATCGTTTAGCTTTTCTTTAAATTCATCTTTCTCCAGTCTTTTCAAAAAGAAATATGTTGGGTGTACCATATAATTGCTTATTATCTGAAATAGTCGATTAGTATAGGTAATAGGACTACATGCTGTCCTATTTGGAAATAATTGGATGAAAAAAATTCCGAGGACTGACAAAATTGGAAAAGGCAAATAGGACTAGTCCAATTTGGGAGTCAGAGGAATTACTTCCAAATTGGAAAGACATGTAGTCCTATTGCAGATTAATTATATCATCCCAAACTATACTAGACTGATTTCATAAGTCATAGTTTCCCTCGAAAGAATGCGAATGGAAAAGATCCAAATTAATCTTTAATTTGGACAGGAAAGAGAATTTGAAAATAATACAATAGTTGCTTATTTGGGATTTTAGAGTGATGATACAGTTGATTCCCTAAATGTTGTATTCAAGGCGTCCAAGGTTTTATATATTTCTAGTTCAGTTGAAAAGAGCCAAAGTTTGCGAAAATCGGATTTGCTTATTCGATACCGATACCTTATTAATGTCGACTCTGGTTGATGTGCTGGTGGGAAGTACCACTCTAGTTTGGTGGAGTACCTGAGAAAAAGCAGCGTTGGAAGAATAGAGGAACTCACGAGCTTCACCTATCGTATGGTGAAGCTTTAGAAGTCTGACTTGATCTGTCCAGGACCAAAACATGGACAACATAACCTGTAAGTATTCGGAAACCTTACTTTTTCTATATACAGCCATTTCCAAAAAGGTTGCCGGTGAAAGTTTTGCTTCATGTTGTGTGTTGCTTACTAATTTTGAAATGTACTACATTCATGTTTAATTAATGGCAGCACAGAAGAAATTGGTTTTAATTGGTTTTAATCACATAAGCTCATTATTTAAAAAACTTGAAGCTAAAATACACAAACAAAGATTGTTCTAGTAGATGTGGCAAAATACTGGGACGCTTTCTATTTCTTCAGTTAGCTAGACTTAATGCCATAAGTCTATTCCGTGACGTATGTCTGTTTTCATAGTCTGTGTAGACTTGTGTACACTTCTATTTCACTGTGATCATTTGTTTCTATTTTTGTTTTACCAACTACACAATTTTTTCTTTTCAGTTTTTACGTTTATTTTCATAATCATTTATTCTTTTCATTTATTCTTCATTTGTTCCTTTTTGATCATATCTTACCTACTGTTTGTTGCTTTTATTATTGGCCTTTAAAGCTGTAGCAACATGTAGACTTTTTTTAAAAACTTCGGCAAGTTAAAAGAACACAGCCTGGTGCTCCGCTTTTAGGCTATCTAAATTTATATTTAATTATTTAATTATAATCTATATTTATATTTAATGATAGTTAGGCAGTGACCTTCACCATGAATGTGACAAGATCCTTTCAAGGTGATGCAATGTTAAGACAACCGAGTCTGTTAAAATTAGTAGAGAAGAACAAAGTAAAATAATAAACAAAACAGAATGGAACTTTATGAAGATCCCTAGAACAGTTATAATGTAAATGTAATTTTTCTTTTTCTTTTTACAACAGCGCGCGCAAGTTACGTTTACTGCGCGCGCTCTCGTTCATCACGAGTCGAACACTATATCGCAACGTAGTCATTCAGTTAGATTCAGTTAGGTTGAAAAGGTCCTAATAAATGGACGAAACTAATCTCTAAACTGCAATAGTGTTGTTAGTGCGTGGGGGATTATAGAAGACACCAGAGGGTGTGTATAGATATGACCTTAATAGATCTTCATTTATCATTAGTAAGGGTTAGTTCACGCCACGTGATTGCACTGTAGTCTTGCTTATAAATTAAACTAGCACACAAGCACAAACAAAAGATATAAGAGTGTACGTCCTCACTGGGAAATTCAGTGACATAAGCATAAGAACAAGCATTAGAGGAACGGAACGTTTTGATCCTTATGCTTATGTTATGCTTGTGTAGCTAGTGAGGATGGATCAGGCTTAATTTAGAATACATGCATCTGTTCACGTACATGTCAAAACCCCTTCACTAGGGGAAACCAAGGACCTTACTGAATATGCACTTCCGCGAAAAACGGATTCTTTCACGTTCAAACTCGTCGATTTTCCTAAGAATAACAATGGCAAATAAAATTGTGAAAATAATAACTCCATCAGTTAAAGCAAGCAACCTTCCTGTGGTTAATTTTCGTATTCCCCCCGCCATCCCATATTTTTCTACTTGTTATTTCGTATTTTATTTGGTCTGTGTACGAAATTAAAATTGAAATCAAGCAATCTGATTCTTAAACAAATACCACTACGTCGCGTTTTTTTTTGACATAGTGGCTATAAAAAAGTGAAAATAATGACTCCATAAGTCAATGGCTGTAGAGGAAAAGCGAAAGTCAACAACCGTCCTGTGGTTAATTCTCAGAATCCACCCTCCCCCCGGATTTTTCTTATTTTTTCATTTTATCTAGTCTGTGTGTGAAATAAGACTCGTACCCAGTCGCTTCCATTGTCTTATTGATCTGGCGGTGCATCAAGAGAAGGAAGGAAGAGAAAAGCGGAGGGTCGTCATTTTTTCTCACTCCTTCCCAAAAGCCACCGCGCGCATTAAAAAGCGTGAGTGACGACTGGGTACGAGTCTGGTGTGAAATCAATATTAAAATCAAGCCGGCAATCCTATTCTAAAACAAATACCACTATGCCACGTTTGTCAGTCTGTCTGATTTCATTTATTCCATAACCACAAAGTGTTATATTACAATTTTAAAATATCTGAAATTAAACCATGTTTGTATCAGAGGACAGACATACGATCGCGTAAAATCGTTCATAACAACTATATGATATTTTATACAAGCAATATAAAACGGCTGCTTGTGTAGTGTTATAAACTGAATGCTCTGGGAGCCTGGAGAAAACCCTCGTAGCATAGGAGAGAACGACACATCACATGTGGCGACCGCAGGGCTCGAACCAGCGAGCCGACTCGTTGGACTCATAGCGGTGATCATGAAAGACGACGCATTAGCCGCGAACGCCACCCATGCTACCCATTTCATAGTACAGCCATGCGCGCGCGTTTTATATTCCTAAACTATAACACTGCACTCTTATTCGACCGATTGACAAATCTCAAATGCTCCTTTTTTGTTCATAGACTAAGGTGAAAAACTGGGAGAAAACGCTAAGTGCGTGTTTGTGTGTGCGAGGGGAGAAGGATTTGGGGGATGGGGGAGGGGAGGAGGGGGCCAAGGGTTTTAATAGAACGAATCATAAACGTTCCTGGATCCCCCTGTGCGCGTTTTATTTAAAAGTGTATTTCCTCTTTAGTTCGGCTAAGATTACATCATTATCATTGGTTACCGGTTGTGTTTCTTGTCATTCGTCCGTTTCATGTATATATTCTTGTTACACCTATTTGTGGCTATAAACCACATTATTGAATCCATAAAGTCCTGATACTATCATTCACTATCATTTGAATCCAGGACTTCTACATCACGTACGAGAAGACTGCCTCAAAATAGTATTGCTTTAAGGTATGAATGTGATGTTAAAAATCTTAAATAATATTTGCGTAATACCATGCACACGTGGTTATTCAAGTTTACTGTTTAATATCTCATTCGTTTTATTTCAGGTCTATATAACTCTTGAACATGGCAATGTTGATCTACACACTTGTGTTGTGTCTCGCCTCGTGGTCTGTAGATGCAACCGGTCAGAACAGAAGTGATTATGTAGGTTCTATCCAACCCTACACCTACACTAGCTGGGGCTCCTGGGGCCACAAAGACTGGTGCACAGAAGGTTCCTATGCGTACGGTGTTACTCTCAAGGTTGAAGGAAAACAGGGCAAGGGAGATGACACAGCACTCAATGGAATCAAGCTGCTTTGCAGGTTAGCCTTTGTGATGTCTCCTTAATTTCCTTTAGTATTTCGCCCAAATTTGAATACGTCCTTCTAAAATCATCCGTCCCGCTTTATATTTTTGCTCGTCACTCGAGCAAAAACTGTTCTCCTTGTCGTTCTCCTTTTTCGCGTCGTTCTTGTTCTACTTTTCCTCCTTGTTCGCCTTGTCCATGTCGTTATCGTTGTCGTTCTCCTCCTCCTCCTCTTCGTTATCGTTGTTCTACTCAGTTCTCGTTCTGGCCTTTCCTCCGTTTTCCTCCTCTTTTTCTTTTCCTTTTTTACTTTCTTGTCTTTCTCCTTTTCCTTCTCGTTATGTTCCTTTTTACTCTTTCTAAAAACATTAGCAAACTATCCTTTTAGGTATAATTATAAATGCTTCAACTAAAAATTGCCTTTTTTCAGAACCTACTGTGGGGCACATTCTAATAGCATCACGTCCAGCGTTATGATATTTGGAAACTGGCAGCAGACAAAGAATTGCCCAGCCGGTAATTTTCTGAAAGGCGCTTGGGTCAGATCTGAGCGACAAGGGAGCGTGGATAACACAGCCGGTGAGGAATACTAAAGTCTCTCTCTCTCTCTCTCTCTCTCTCTTTCTTTCTTTTTGTTTTTGATATCTTGAAGTTCAAATTCTTTTTATAAATTTTTAACATTCGTCAATTATACCAACATTAAAACACTTGATATGTATTTCAAACGTAATTTGATTGGATGGTCTTACCTTTTACAGTGAATAACTATGATTTTCTCTGCGAACATTTCCATTACACGAGCCACATTTACCACCTACAAGGTAATGGCATGCCCTGGGGTTCATGGACTGCCCGACAAGAGTGCCCCACTGGTTCGTACATTTGTGGTCTCAAAACCCAAGTGGAGCCATCGCAAGGTAGAGGAGATGATACTGCTCTCAATGACGCCAGATTCTACTGCTGCAGATTGACAAAAACGAGCTGGTTTGTTTAGATAGACTTTTGGTTATTTTATATTGATCTTTTTCTTATCTTAATGGTGGTCGGGTGGTGGTCGGGTGGATATTGGGTGGTGGTCGGGTGGATATTGGGTGGTGGTGGGGTGGTGGTTCATGATAACATACCGAGGTGATCTTTGGGGTGAAGATGGTAATAGATGGTGATGATATCATGATGTCCACGATGTAAAGCTACAGAGTAATGTTACTTTTATAGCTGGAAGAAGTCTGCACTCTTGCATTCCTTATTTGAATATATCTTTACTTTGTTGCAGCTCTGGTCGGCGCTAAAATCACCAGGAAAGATGAGCTTATCCCAGAACACAGGACAAACCAGGCAAAACTAAATGAACCTAAAGGTGTTATTTAAATCAGACGTTCAATTTAGCAAAAGAATCAAAAACTAAGTAAAAGAAACTGACAAATTAACGATAAATAGTAAAAATGTGTGAAGTAAATTAAAGGGAAAGTTAAAGATTGTAAGAAAATACACTTGTCCAACAAAATAAATACCAGATGCAGTCTACGCCTTCTTTCTCAGTTTCTTATTTCAGTCAAATTAATGAACAAAACAGGTATGATTCCTTTGAACTGAACCTCGCAACTGAGTTTCCAGGCAAGATGAATATCGATATCCTTTGTTGCATTGTAAACTGGAATTGAATTGGGAAATTGTTCTGGTCCCTTCCCATTCATCTAGGGAACTCGATAAAAACATAAACAAAAAGGGTTGCAAAAGAGGGTGTCGATCGATAATGTTTAATGAACTGGGGTTTCCTTCTCCACCCTCCCCCTCTTCTTGGCCCCACCCAAATCCTTCAAATCGACTTATCATTGGATACAGAGAATGCGCCTGATCATTAAATGGTTCAGAGCGGAAATGGGGGATGGTCGAGCCAGTTCTATAAATTAAGATTTTGCCGCTGACTCTTCGCTTGAAAAAAATATCAGAACTGTTCCTCAAGAAAACAAAAAAAAATATTGACAGCTGGGTATTGCTTAAAATTTCATTCATCTTATTAATGCTCTGCTGATTGTTTTTTGTTCGTTTCCTTTTATTTCTTTTTTTTCCTTTCAGTCGATTAATCTTTCACTTTACTTCCATTTCAGTGTAAATCTCACTTGTTGGGAAGCCTGTGTACCGGTGTCACGTGCTCCCATCATGCTTCACGGACACTACTGTTCAGAAGAAGACGTCGAATTAGAAAAAGAGATGTCGAAGATGTGGTCAAAGAAAATCACATTTAGACGGTAAGAAATGCTCCTTATCTACACTAAACTGTGTTATTATAAGTATAAGCATTAGTTCTTTCTAGTTGGATGGGAATATTTTATTTTCAAGGGGTTTTCTTTGCATAAAAACCGTTGATATTTCTTTACTCGCTTTTCGTTGGTTGCACGTGGCTAACTTTTCAACGTGAAAAAATCCCTTCGTACTTTTTCCTGTATACAGCTAAAAGTAATCAAAGAACAAATCCACTTTTCCTACTGCTTCTAATGTCGAAATGGTCGTAAACGATTTTTTAAATAAATTTTTTAAACCTTTTTGTCTTTTCGCCTCCCCAACCACCTTCCAACCAACACCACTCAAACACATTTTATATTATTCCTTTATGCTGACTTTCATTTTTTTTGCAAACCAAAGGTTCTGCATTTCGGGTTTATATTCCCCTTTTGACAAATTACAAAAATTCAATTGTAGCATAGATTGGTCTTTCCTAGGGGGGGTTATATTCCCCTTTTAAAGTGTATATGACACGAAAAAATTTTAATGTTAA